CGTCTAAGAAAGAGACTGCATTTGCATCAGTATGTGGCTCTAGCTGAGGTGAATCTGAAACGTTCCCTTTGAATCCAGCTGCAATTAACATTACTGCTGCATCACCAGCATGCTGAGCGCTCAACAGCTGGCAAACTAACCCAGCGCGGCCTCAATTAGGGGCCTGTCGTCCACAGAGGTTCAAAGCAGCTCTGAACAATACCAAGAAATGTAATGTAAAGCAGTGCTTGGCATTGCTTCGCATTGCTTTGCGTTGCTCGACACTGTTTGAAATCGTTGCTTAGCACTCCTGGGAATCGTTGCTTGACATTGCTGAGCATTGCTTGCTTGGCATTGCTCGACATTCACTGGTTGGCATTTCTTGACAGTTGGTATTGCTTGGCATTCGTTTAGAATTGTTTAGCATCGATTGGCGTTGCTTAGCAATGGTTGACATTGCTTGTCATTGCTTGGCATTGCTTAGCATTTCTTCGCATTGCTTGGCATTGCTTGGCACTGCTTGGCGTTACTCGACATTGCTCGACATTGCTTGACATTGCTTGGCAATTGGTAGTGCTTGGCATTGGCGTGGCATTGCTTGGCATTGCTCGACATTCCTTGACAGTGCTTCGCACTGCTTCACATTGATTGGCAAGTATTGGTTTTGCTTGGCATTGGTTTGGCATTGCTTGGCAATTATTGGCGCTGTCTAGAAATGCTTGGCAGTGCTCGGCTTTGCTTGGCATTGGTTGGCATGTCTTCGCATTCATTGGCATGCATTGCTTGGTGTTGCTTGGCATTGATTTGCTTTTCCTGGCATTGACTGGCATTGTTTGGCAGTGTTTGACATTGCTTGGCAGCGCTTGCCGTTGCAACGGCCGGGGAATCCAAGGAGCAAGACCAAAGAACCTGAGAAAGAAAGGCGAGGAACAAGACAGGGGAACCGTCAAAGGACCAGGGAACGCAAGGAACAAGAACGGAGAATCCGAGCAGCGCCTAGAGGAAACCAAGACCAAGAAAACAAGCAACGCGGAGGGGCCGCCTCTGAATTGGGACCCCGCACCCACCGGCTACTTTCGAAAACAGACAAGGAACCCATAGGCAAAGCCGAACTGGGGAATCCCACCAGCCCTTTAGGGCGTGAGTGGTTTAGAATGTTTCTTCGTCCGCCCCCCCTTCTTCCCTTCGGAAAGGAACTGATCATTCTTCCCTATTCACAAACACTCCCTCCCCCAGGCGACCGGCAGCCAACCAGGACCAATGAGAACACACACACACACACACGTCATCCCTGTCAAAAACAATACGAAGCACAAGTTGAGGCAAAATCTTGGGTCAAGCTCGTGGGTCACGCGAGCACTTTGCATTGTTGTATGACTGGGACGGCAGGTGTGCCCTCATGTTGCCTGCTTTGCGCAAAGCCACCATCCGTGATCAAAACAAAACAACATGCACTTCGGGGCTAAATCTGGACCATGCGCGGCCAACTCGCGATCATTGTCCATTGGCGTTTGACAAATACCGCTGGGGTGGTGGCATATTGCCTGCTGCGTGCAGGCCCACCAGACACCATGATGGCCTCCCCGCCGCGATTGTGCATTGGTTTTCGACAACGATGGTGGGGGCCGACATGTCTCCCGATATGTGCTGTCATGTGCGCGGGCGCACCTGGCACACTCTGCGCGTGCACTGGACGTGGCGCACCTCGCGCGGCTGGACCATGCGGCACACGTGGCGCACATGGAGCACGTGGCGCACTGGCACGCGAGGCGTGCCTGGCACGCGTGGGCACCAGGGGTGCCATACATAGCGCAGCGAAAGCGCCCCTCTCGGGTGGACAAGAGTGAACATGGCCAGACTTGGAGGGGGACGCTTGCTCTCGCGCGGGCCTTCCGCAAGTACAGGAGGGATGGACAGACAGCAGGATACGCAGAGAGCACGACGCGAACGCAAGCAGGAAGATATCCTGAGGGAGGTAGACCCGCAGCGCTCGCAACAGGCAACGCCAACGGCCACAGCCGAGTAGGTGTGCTGACAGTGAAGACGGTAACCACTCAACACCACAGAGCGTGAACAGAGGCCATGACAGTGCAATGCTTGGTTGGGGCAAGCGGGAGTAAGCAAGGGAGTAAGCAAAGGTTTGCGGGACAACCATCGAGGCACATCGCTGGTGCGGGCTGCCTGGCCACTCCGCTCATAGAAGGTAGCCTCCAGGCGGCGGCCTTCGCCATTCGTCGCCCACCTGCGTGGTCAAAGCTCACCACGCGAGGCCGTCCCTGATGCGCTCCTTCGAGGGGCACATGTTGAGGCACTTGTTGGTGACGCTCTCTGGGTACTTGGCCTCGGGGAATTTGCCGGCCTCGACGCGATCGATCAGAGACTTCACCGCGGCGGCGCCCTCGGCTTTGCCCGGGAAGCGCGAGTAGTCCTCGTCGAAGTGGCCGTCCGACATCCTCTTGGTCCTGGCTCCGCTCACCGTCGCGCGGGCGTGCGCAGGCAGCCCGAGCGTCTGCTGCTTCGGGCAGGCATACTTCCCCAAGCTGTCGTCGTACGGGTGGATGAAGAAAGCGCCGCCGCACCTGATCTGCTTCACCGCGCCCTCAACACCGCCCTTCGTCAGCCCCTCGGCGAAAATCTCCTCGAAGATGCTCCCCAGGCCCGCGCTCTCCACCGGCATTGGCGCGAAGCCCTCGAAGCGGTCGCGGTTGACCACGAAGAACCCGTGGTTGATGTTCGTGGCGTTTCCCACCTTGCAGACGCCCTTCTTGGAGGCACGCGTGTGCGTGCACATGTCCGGCGGCTGCAGCACCACCGCCATCGGGTCCTGCCGGAACAGCCTGGCCGCCACCTCGACCAACCCGGTCTGGTTCTCGCGGTACAGGAAGGTCGTCGAGTCCACGAAGATGCACATGTCGACCTCAGAGTCCGCGTCCGCACACAACTCCAGGAAGTTCAGCATGCCCAGGAGCCGCGCAGCGTTGGCCTTCTCGTCGAGCTTCGAGACGTTGGCGGGCGGATCCAGGCCTGGTTGGAGGAAACCTCCTAGTATAGAAAATCCCCGAAAGTGTCAGATAATATCAGGAAAGCTCCTCTCTCCTCTCTCCTCCATCACCCTTGCGATTGGCCCATCTCGTATACAGGCAACGATAATTACGGGATTTATCATTTAAGAATTCTGGGCCAGCTTCCCGGAAGTTTCTTAAAGCAAACCTGGGCCAACTTCTGTTGTTCACGCTGGAGGGGCGAACCTGCTCAAGAAGCTGGCCCAGACCATTCTGACAAGTTGGTTAAGAAACCCTGGCGCAGCTTTCTGGGAGGAGGGCTCTTGATCAGATGCTCGACCGTAATCCCACCAGCCCTCTGGGCGCAGATGGTCTAACAGTACCCTTCTTTCCTCTTCCCAAACCCCCCTTCCCTTCGGGGAGGGGTACCCTCCCCCCCTCCCTGAGGCTTTCTCGGAGGGTTTCGAGAGCGGTCAGAGATCCTAGGACGGCCCAAGATAGCTCCCAAGGGGGCCCCGATGCTCCAAGATGGCCCCCAAGATGGCCTCCAAGATGGTTCAGGATGGTTCAAGATGCTTCAAGATGGCCTCCAAGATGGAGTCCAAGATGGCCTCCAAGATGGCCTCCAAGATGGTCTCCAAGATGACTCAAGATGGCTTCCGACATGCCTCCATGAGGCCACAAGAGGACCACAAGATGGCTCCGAGTGCTCTCGGAGTCCCCATCAGGACTTCCCCAAAGCAAATCCGATCAAACGTATGGGAAATCGGTGATCTGTGCCTTCTCGCCTTGCCCAGGAGGTTCTCAAGAGGCGATTTCCTCCGCCTCCTCCTCTGCCTCCTCCTCCTCCTCCTCCTCCATCTCCTCCTCTTCCTCCTCCTCCTCTTCCTCCTCCTCCTCCACCTTCGCCTCCTTCTCATCCTCCTCCTCCTCCTCCTCCTCCTCCTCCTCCCTCCACCGCCCGCCCCATGCATGTCCCGAACTGGTGGCAGTGTCATCAACTCGTCGTTGTCGTTGTCGTCGTGGTCGTCGTGGTCGTCGTGGTCGTCCTTCTGGGTCGGCGGCACCGGCCGTAAGGCCTTCACAATCAGTGATCTGTACCTTCTCGCCTGGCCAGGAAGGCCCCAAGAGGAGGTTTCTGATGGCCCCCGAAGGTTTGGGGGGGGGGATCGGATACCCCCCGTCTTTGGATAGGCGCCCTCCAAGATGGCTCCAAGCGGCCCTCCAGGACTCCCACAAAGCGGCCCCTGGAGGGCCCCAAAAGAGCCCCAAGACCCGACAAAAAAAGAGCCCCAAGAGGAGGAGGAGGAGGAGGAGGAGGAGGAGGAGGAGGAGGAGGAGGAGGAGGAGGAGGAGGAGGAGGGAGGAGGGGGGAGGACAGGGGGCAGCGCTCGCACGAGGGCCCCCAGAGGAACCCAAGGAGGCCTCTAGAGGACCGAAGACGGCTAATTACCAGAGTCCTCATCCTCCTCCTCCTCCTCCTCCTCCTCCTCCTCACCCTCCTCCTCCTCCTCCTCCTCCTCCTCCTCCTCCTCCTCCTCCTCCTCCTCGTCCTCGTCCTCATCCTCCTTCTCTTCCTCGTCCTCGTCCTCTTCCTGTCCGTCCTCATCCTCGTCGTCCTCCTTGTCATCCTGATCATCCTCGTCCTCATCCTCCTCATCCTCATCCTCCTCGTCCTCCTCGTCGTCCTCCTCCTCGTCCTCCCACATCTCTGCTTAGTCCTGGTTCTGATCAGGCTGATCCGAAACTTGTTCTACTGCATGCTTTCCAACTGTCCTGATCAAGGCAACTCGCCCGGGCATCGTTTCTGGATGAGCTGGTGGGGTACGCGAAGCGTCGAGAATTGACACGTCCCTCCCTGCACAGTCGCCTTGGCTCCGAGCACTGTGCGAAGCCAGCCGCAGCATCTTGCTGTTGAGCTGAAGGTCGCCGGCGCTGAAGAAGCGGGCCATCAGAGCGCTCAGCTTCGAGTAGTCCACGCTCTTCACCTGAACGCTTCCCGTGCTGCCCTGCGTTCGCCTGTAGCGCGACAGCAGGGGCTCCTGCGCGCTGGGCTGCTCGGCCCAAGGCGGTCGGTTGTCGATGACGGCCCCCTCCAAAATGCTCATGTTGCCACTGATCATGCGCATGTGGTGCTCCATCATGAGGTCAACCGGGGTCTCGTCGCTTGGCATGACCATCGTCGCCACCAGCGCCCTGGGCATCTGACGCGGCGCCTTCTTCGGCTTCAGCAGGCTCATGCCTGCCGCCCCGCAGCACAAGACTGCCGGCAAGAGGGAGCGCATCGCGGGCGCCATCATACACGAAGCACCTAACGAAAGTGCAGTAAATCGGAAAATGAAACCTGTATGAACACAGGGAGGCTGGAGGCGCGGAATCGACACACTCGACGTGCTTGCCTTCCTTTTTGTACCCCACAGCCCCATGTGACGCAACCATTCTTCAGGGACCCAAAGGGGGCAAAGCCTACCTTTCGAACCCCAGTGTCCCACGAAAAACCTTGAGCATCGTGCTGCCTCCCAACAGAAGGCTTGCACTTGAAACGCTTTCGTTAGATCGCAGAGACGGGAGTGAGGAGGAGGAGGAGGAGGAGGAAGAGGATGGAGGAGGGGGGCCCAGAAGGCGGCCTCTGGGGCCCCGGATGATCAGTAAGTGGTTGGGTCGCAGAGACGGGGTGGGTCTGCACCCGCCAGGGGCTGGCGAGGCGCTCCCCCACAAAAAAGAGACCTCGGCCATCGGAATGGCGGTCCTGCCGGAGGCTCTCGCTGCCGTGAGGTCGGAAGTGCGATTCTCATATGCCAGTTCTAACGTGGACCCCAAACTGTGATGTATGGCGCTGTGGAGGTGAGAGATGTGCTGTGCCAGTTATGTGGTGCAAGCTAGGTTGCGTAAGCTTTTTGCGGTGCCCACTATGTGTCGCAAGCTTGATTGCGCATGCTATGTAAGCTGTGGTATGACAGCTATTCGGTGTGAGCTTTGTATTGTGAGGGCGCCGCGCCTGCCTGGGAGAAGTCCTCGGAGAAATATCGCGCAGAGCGCGCAGCGAAGGCGAGGGACGGGCGCCCCCATCGGGCGGACGAGAGGGAACGTGGCTCGATTAGAAGAGGGATGGTTGATTTCGCGTGGCCGTTCAGCAGCGACAGAAGGGATGGGCAGACGGCAGGATATGCAGAGAGCACGACGCGAATGCGCGCAGGAAGACACTCCGAGGGGAGAGAGAGAGAGAGAGAGAGAGAGAGGGACAGCGTTCGCAGCGAGCAACGCTAACGGCCATAGTCGAGCAGGTGTGCTGATGGCACAGCCAGCAACAAACACCAAAGAGCGCGAACAGAGGCCAGGATTGTGCATTGCTCGGGTGGGGCAAGCGGGAATAAGCAAGGGTTTTGGGGAAGACCATCGAAGCACGTCGCTCGTTATGACCAAAAGCGCAGGCTGCCGGGCCACTCCGCTCATAGAAGGTAGCCTCCAGGCGGCGGCCTTCGCCATTCGTCGCCCACCTGCGTGGTCAAAGCTCACCACGCGAGGCCGTCCCTGATGCGCTCCTTCGAGGGGCACATGTTGAGGCACTTGTTGGTGACGCTCTCTGGGTACTTGGCCTCGGGGAACTTGCCGGCCTCGACGCGATCGATCAGAGACTTCACCGCGGCGGCGCCCTCGGCTTTGCCCGGGAAGCGCGAGTAGTCCTCGTCGAAGTGGCCGTCCGACATCCTCTTGGTCCTGGCTCCGCTCACCGTCGCGCGGGCGTGCGCAGGCAGCCCGAGCGTCTGCTGCTTCGGGCAGGCATACTTCCCCAAGCTGTCGTCGTACGGGTGGATGAAGAAAGCGCCGCCGCACCTGATCTGCTTCACCGCGCCCTCAACACCGCCCTTCGTCAGCCCCTCGGCGAAAATCTCCTCGAAGATGCTCCCCAGGCCCGCGCTCTCCACTGGCATTGGCGCGAAGCCCTCGAAGCGGTCACGGTTGACCACGAAGAACCCGTGGTTGATGTTCGTGGCGTTTCCCACCTTGCAGACGCCCTTCTTGGAGGCACGCGTGTGCGTGCACATGTCCGGCGGCTGCAGCACCACCGCCATCGGGTCCTGCCGGAACAGCCTGGCCGCCACCTCGACCAACCCGGTCTGGTTCTCGCGGTACAGGAAGGTCGTCGAGTCCACGAAGATGCACATGTCGACCTCAGAGTCCGCGTCCGCACACAACTCCAGGAAGTTCAGCATGCCCAGGAGCCGCGCAGCGTTGGCCTTCTCGTCGAGCTTCGAGACGTTGGCGGGCGGATCCAGGCCTGGTTGGAGGAAACGTCTGAGAATCCCCGAAAGCGTCAGAAATCTCCTACACTAATCCTCTCTCCTCTCTCCCTCCTCCTCCTCCTCCTCCTCCTCCTCCTCCTCCTCCTCCGCCGCCTCCTCTTCCTCCCCCTGCTACTTGCTACCGGCCCATCTTGTACTAGCGCACCAGCCCTTTAGGACCTAGGCGATCTAACGAAGTTTGGTCTTCCGACACCCCGCCCCCCACTTCGGGGAAAAGGTTACCATACCACTGTTCCTCATCGGCACACAACCCCTCCCACACCTGACTGGAGTTGAGGCGAAAAGCCATGACGACACCGCCCACACCATCCTCGTCCCAGAGAGCCACACGGCAGGCACCGCGAGGCAGCATCGTGAGCGCGCGCCCCGCGCGCTGGTGCGCGGGAGCCCCGCGAGATCACCTCGCACCTGCTGCTCGACGTGGACGGCGGGGCGGTGGCCTTGGCACGCGCGGCGCACCTCGCGGGCGTCGCGCACCTCGCTGGTTTCTGCTGCGGCTCCCGAGGACTGTCGATGGCTTCCCCTGCCCCTGCCGAGGCTCGGGCGCTGCGCATGTGTCGGGAGGACGCGTGGGAGCGCACGAGACGGCCGTCCTTCGAGGGGGGTAGATTGACCCCTCCACCGACCTCCTCCCCTGGGTCTGGAGGGGGGGGGGGTCCGCAAGCGGTAAGAGCGCCCAAGATGATGCAAAGATGGCTCCAAGGTGAAGCTGGCCTCGGGTAGCCCCGGACGGCCTCCGAAAGAGCGCACAGGATGGCGCAGGACGGCCTGCGACACATCTCCGAAGGGGCGCCGAAGACCGCCACCGAGCGGCTCCCAATGGCCTCGGAATCTCCCAGGGACGCCCGCGAGGGGCTAAGATCCGTCCAGAACCTACGGAAATGAAGGAATGCACCCCTAGACGGTCGAAGACTTCGCCCAGATAGACGGTCGAATACTTCGCCCAGAAATTCATAGCTCAGCAAAGCTGTGCGATAAAAATTGAATAACATGTTCAGCACCATTGACATGGTGGTTCCATTCGAGGCTCAGGCCTGCGGCGTATGAGTAAACATCATCGAAGAGAAAGCGACCTGCCGCGTCTCATGGAATGTTGCCTTCTCGCCTTTTCGCTTCCCATGGGCTTCGGATGGGCCCAGGAGGGCTCCAACACAGCCCCAAGAGCGCTCAAGAGCACCCCAAGAGGTGATCCTTCCGCCTTCCACGGGGGGAGTGTGACAAGCGCCGCCCCCTCTTTGATCGATGGCCTCCAAGATGGCTCCAAGACGGCTTCCAAGGCCCCAAGGAAGGCCCCAAGAGAGCTCCAAGAGAGCTCCAAGAGAGCCCAAACATCTTCCAAAATGGCCCCAAGAGGGCCCCAAGATGGCCCGAGCCAGCTGTCAAGAGGCTCCCATATCGAAAGATCCGAACAAGGCATTTCTGGTTGATTCCAGGGTCAGATCCCAAGCTCGAGTTGACGGCTGCCCTTCCTCTTTTTTCCTCTGATTGCTCCTACACGTCCCTGATTAAGGCAACTCGCCCGGGCATCGTTTCTGGATGAGCCGGTGGGGTTACGCGAAGCGTCGAGAATTGACACGTCCCTCACTGCACGGTCGCCTTGGCTCCGAGCACTGTGCGAAGCCAGCCGCAGCATCTTGCTGTTGAGCTGAAGGTCACCAGCACTGAAGAAGCGGGCCATCAGAGCGCTCAGCTTCGAGTAGTCCACGCTCTTCACCTGAACGCTTCCCGTGCTGCCCTGGGTTCGCCTGTAGCGCGACAGCAGGGGCTCCTGCGCGCTGGGCTGCTCGGCCCAAGGCGGTCGGTTGTCGATGACAGCCCCCTCCAAAATGCTCATGTTGCCACTGATCATGCGCATGTGGTGCTCCATCATGAGGTCAACCGGGGTCTCGTCGCTTGGCATGACCATCGTCGCCACCAGCGCCCTGGGCATCTGACGCGGCGCCTTCTTCGGCTTCAGCAGGCTCATGCCCGCCGCCCCGCAGCACAAGACTGCCGGCAAGAGGGAGCGCATCGCGGGCGCCATATACGCAGGGGAACTAACAGAAGTGTACTTAATCGGGGATGGCCTTTTTGAACACAGGGAGGCTGACAGCGCGGAGTGGACACAAGAGACATTGTCGGACGGCGCGCGATCTCCCTGCCGACTCAGCGAACTAGAGTGGCCCAGCGGACGCATGTCCACCACCACGCTCTGCCACCAATCAGCTGTACAGGCCCCAGCTGGGGGGAATCTCGCTGCTTCGCACAAGCCCTGCGCGTTGCAGCACGCCCCCGACGAATGACTACCTTCGAAAAGTCCCCTAGGATCCAGAAAACCCAGCATGGTCGTCCTGCGGCGAAGGACTCCCGCGTGGGCGGTGGTCGATAGTAAATGCGCGGTGCCCAGCGGAGTCTGCCTCGTAATCAAGCTCCACCATCGTGGTTTCACCGTCGTCCTGGCCACATTGTGACTTCGAAATGAGAACGTCGCGTCGGTACTAGCAACCCTCTCGGTATATATCGGCCCAGAAATGGTCAGGAATGGTGCTCGCTGTCGCCACATTTTTCCCCAAACAGTGCTTGCACTGAAGGTGCTCTTGCTCGCTTTCAGCAAAGTGGAAAAACTTGCCGCCGACACGCCTTACCGCACTAGACATTCTGCTTCGCTGACTAACAAACATCCTGTGGCATTCCGGATATTCCGGGCCCTCCTCCTCCTCCTCCTCCTCATCATCCTCATCCTCATCCTCATCCTCATCATCATCATCATCATCATCATCATCATCATCATCATCAACATCATCATCATCATCATCATCATCATCATCATCAGCATCATCATCATCATCATCGTCATCATCATCATCCTCAGCATCAGCATCAGCATCATCATCATCATCATCATCATCAGCATCATCATCATCATCATAATCCTGCTCCTCCTCCTCCAACTCTTCCTGCCTCCTCCCTCCTCCCTCCTCCCTCCTCCCTCCTCTCTCCTCCCTCCTCCCTCCTCCCTCCTTCCTCATCCCGCCTCCCTCCTCCCTGCTCCCTCCTCCCTCCTCCCTCCATTCCTTATGAATAGCTTTTCCCCGTCGCACCCCAAAGCCAGTTGTTAGGGCGGGCCATTCGCTTCGCCGTGGAATTCCTCACCATGTATGACCCTGAAGCTTAAACACTGGCAACAGTTTCACAGTGGAGGGCAAGTCGTTTTCAAAATGTGGCTCGCGCCTTAGCGCCGCACAAGCTCGTCTTAATGAGGTGCAAAAGTTTCACGCATTGAGGGCGGCCCGTTTTCAAAATGTAGCCCTCGCCTTAGCGACGCGCACACTTGTCTTAACAAGTTGGACGAGCTTCACAGTTTGATGGCGGTTCCGTTTCTTCAAAAGATGGCTCTCGCCTTAGCACCGCGCACATTCGTTTGAAAGATTTGCGAGAGGTTCACGGATTCCCGTGATCAGCGTACCAGGAAATGGCGTGTTGGAAAAAATCTGGATTCTGAAGGCGCCACAGTTACGTTGATTCGCGGTGTTGAAGTCCCAGGAATGGCGTTCTGGCACGATTCAGGATCGCCAAGACGCAAGGATTAGGTTGATCCGTGGCGCTGGAATCCCGAGAGCAATGTCTTGGCATGTTTCAGGGTCTTTAGACGGTTGTCTTCCAACGAGGCAGTTCCCTCAGTGGAGATGAACCGTTGTATGAAGAGGGAGCTTGGAGGGAGGGCTTACTCCAGCATCGTTGAAGCCTCTTCGGTTTACACTGGTCCTCCTCCTCCTCCTCCTCATCCTCCTCCTCCTCCTCCTCCTCCTCCCTATCCTCCTCCTCCTCCTCCTCCTCCTCCTCCTCCTCCTCCTCCTCCTTCTCCTCCTCCTGCCCCTCCTCTGAACACTCCACCACCAGCCCCACCACCAGCCCACCAGCCCCACCAGCGCCACGTTTCTCCGTCCAGGCAGGCCGCGTCGGACTGTGCGGGATATGCGAACACTGTTTGATTTATCGGGGTGCGTGCCCTTCCCACACCACCAGCCACACCATCAGCCACACAACCAGCCCCCACGTTCCAACCTCCAGAAATGCCGTGTCAGACAACGCGGGCTATGCGGATACCCTTTTATTGATCAGGGATCAGGGTGCGTGCCCTTCCCACTCCACCAGCCCCACCACCAGCGCCACCAGCGCAACGTTGCCCCTTCCAGGGAGGCCGCGTCGGACTGTGCTGGATATGCGGATACCCTGGGCTCGTGCCTTCCCACTCCACCAGCCCCACCGCACCAGCCCCACCAGCGCCACGTTTCGCCCTCCGGGGAGGCCGCGTCGGACCGCGCGGGCTATTCCCTGAGCAGCCTGTCTGCTAGGGGATCGAGTCGGTGCATTACCAGATCCGGAATCGGTGGGACGACATGGCCTCACATTGTCTTCCATGGTCTCCCGTTGTCTCACATTGTCTATCCCTATCCCTATATGTATCCCTATCCCTATCTCCATCTCTATCCCCATCCCTATCCCGATTGTCTCCCAGTGTGTCTTTCATGCTCTCCCGTAGTCTCCCCCTGTCTATCACCATCCCCATCTGTACCCCTACCTCTACATCCTTATACCTATGTCTATCCATATCCTTGTCCCTGTGCCTTTTGACTCTACCCCTATCCCTATCCCTGCTCCGTATGAATCTACACCCTACGAGATATCACTTCTCCGTAGCCTCTAACCCTACGATATGTCACCGCTCCGTACCCCCCTCACCCACCAGACCGGCGACAAACCAGGGCCAATGAGGGCACGCACACAAGCCATCCCTGTCCAAAAACAATGCGAAGTGCACTGTGCGGCTAAATCGTGGGTCATGTTCGGGGGACCCGCGAGCAATTTGTACTGTTTGTTGGCAGGGACGGCGGGGGCCAGCACATGTCCTACTGTGCACAGGGCCACCATCACGGTTAAAAACAAGTAGAGAGAACTTCACTTCGCGGCTAAATCTGGATCATGCGCTGGCACCCCGCGATCACGTTGCATTTGTCTTTGACAGGGGCGGCGGGAGTGCTGGCATATTGCCGGCTGTGTGCAGGCCCACCAGTCATCATCATGGCCACTCCGCCGCGATGGCGCATCGGCTTTCGGCAAGGACGGTGGGGGTCAGCATGTTTCCCGATGTGCGCGGGCGCACCTGGCACGCTTTGCGCGTGCCCCGAACGTGGCGCACACTGCGCGGCTATGTCATGCGGCACGCTTGCAGCACGTGGAGCACGTGGCGAATCTGGCGCATCAGGCGTGCACGGCACGCTTGGGCCCCAGAGGCACCCGGCGCGCCCGGTGCACGTTGCGCGCCTGGCACTCGTGACGCACCTCGCCCCATGGGGTCTGTGTTGGTTCCCATTGGCTGTCCATCCAGAGACGACCGCTCAATCCGCCGACCCTTCGGAGTGTGCGAGACGCTGTCGTCTTCGTCGTCGCCAGTCCTGGCAAAACTGCGGAACGAACAGAGACAGAACAGTCGCAGTGAAGCCGATTCGCTCCCCTCTTCCCCTTCCCTGACGGGGGAGGGGACCGGAGGGGCAGGGGGGGGGAGTAATCCCAAGTCAGATTGCAGTCCCCCCGTGGTCCTGGTGGGTCCTGGGGGATGGCCTCACCTCTGGACAGCGGGGACAGGGAGGGGTCCTCCCATGTGGAGGGGGGGGGACGCTCCAGTCCCGGCCCTGGGCCCCAGCCCTGGCCGAGGCCGTGGCCCCGACCCCGGCCCTGGCCCCGGCCCTGGCCCCGGCCAGGGCCGCGGCCCTCCCTCCTCCTCCTCCTCCTCCTCCTCCTCCTCCTCCTCCTCCTCCTCCTCCTCCTCCTCCTCCTCCTCCTCCTCCTCCTCCTCCTCCTCCTCCTCCTCCTCCTCCTCCTCCTCCTCCTGGCCCTGCGACCCCCCCCCCGGGTCCTGGGGGGGGGTCCCGCCCTCAGGGTCGGCAGCACCGGCCGCAAGGCCTTCACAATATGCTGAGACCCCAGTACTAGTCATGTGTTAATGAGGGCGGGCGCGAGTGAGCCAAACAGTTTGCGTCCGGGAGAAGTGTCTTGATCCAGATCCCTATCCCGAGCCCCATCCCCATCCCTATCCCTGTATCCCTGTCCCGACATCCATAGCCCGACATGGTTTGTGCAGCTGGACTTCTTGGCTGCCACGACCGCTGATTGTTCCAACCAGCTATTGCCCAGAGGTGCCGCAACTTCTCGTTGCATTTCCACAGACTCGGGCTGCTGCTTTTAATTGCTGCTGCCGAGGGCTGTCACGGAAGATGGATGCCGCCGCCACTAGTCGTCACCCTAGCCTAACGCCGACGCTAAATGCAGGAATTAGCCGTAGCTCCCCTGGGTTGCTGCGAGTTCTGGTTGCCACCGCAAGCAGATACTCTTCGCTGCCACGAGCCCAGGTTGCCGCCACCAGCCGTTGCCCTGGGGAACGCTGGCTGACCTACAGGCCTTCGCAAAGGGTCGCTACGAACGCTGGTTGCCGCTGGCCGCTACCGAAGGTTGCGACAAATGCAGATCGCCTCCACTAGACGTCACCCTGGAGCACACGAGCCTTCTGGGCGTGCGTGGTTTAGCGCGCCAGCTTCTACACAGCTACCGTATTTTACTCGTTGGGGAAAGCAGCATCACCGCTTATTGATCGTACGCCCAGCCTCCCGTGCTCGAGAGGCAGACACCCATCGTCATGCCCCAGGGTGTTCTGTCAGGAACGATGCGGTGGGACCAGATTAGCCTGTGCCCTGGTCCACGATCCTTTTGAAAATCAGCGAAAAATATTCGTGGCGCACGCACCAAACGCGATGTCCACCGCCCAGCCACGGGGGCAGTGGGGGTAGGGAAACGAGCTCTGTACACCGACGCTGTTTCCGACCCTGCGCTGAAATTCGCACAAGAACGCGGATCCTGGTGTATACGGGATCCTGGTGTATACACTTTTCGTTGTCTCCCTGGGAAATCGGGGGAGAAGTATACACCACACCACCCCGACGTCACCCCAGACCCTCAACAAAAAGTCCTGGGATCGAAAAAACAGCCCGCCACTGGTAGTGTACATGCTCCAGTTCCCGACTACGGATTGCCCGATGCGTGCTGCCGCGTGCACGGTCGCACGCGGCGCAGCCTGCGCGCGTCGCGCACACGGCACGCGCAGCGCACCCGGCGTGGCGCACGCGGCGCACCCGGCCCACGAGGCGCGCTGGGCGCGCTGGGGCACCCGGGGAACCGAAAGCCATGGCTGAGGAGGCAGCTACTGGGAGGTCTTCGTCGGAGGGATGAAAGAGGATGAAGCCCGATTAGGGAGCTATTACGCTGGAGTGGGCCTCGGATTAGGCCGGATTGAGCTGGATTAAACGCGATTCAGCGGGGTGAAGCCGGATT